GGTGGTGGTGGAAGGGCCTTTAGAGGGCGGCGGGGCTCATTAGGCGGAGCAGGGTGCGGAGAGGTGCGCGCCGCCGGCCCCTGAGGCCGCCTTTGAGCCGTCGGGGCGGCTTCATTAAGCTGCGCTAACAAGGCGTACAAATGCCGAGCCCAGCAGCTTTCTTGCAATGCCCGGCCTTAGCAGGGCGCCGGACTAATGAGGGTCACTCAAAGGGGCTGATCAAATATTCAAATTTCCCCGCACGCCAGGAACTTTTATGCATGGAGAAAGTTGAGGCAACTGAGCTGTGTTTACTGTCCGGGGCGACAATTGCTTGGAGCGCCAGTCCCCGGAGGCTAAGGCGGGGGGCGGGGGTGCGGGGAGGGAGCAGTTGTTGTTGTTGTTTTTCAAAGGAAAGTAATCGGGGTCCTTGAAGGGCTTCGCGGCCTCCCCGCCTGCGTGCTGCGCTCCCCTGCGCCCTCCCAGGCCGCCCGCGCCAAGCGCCTCAGTTTGCAGCTTGCGGGGAGGCTCAGACTATGGGCCACCCGGCCAGCCCCCGCCTCCCGACATCCTGGGAGCCGGAAGGGGCGTTGCCCCCACAGGGCAAACCTTCCCCCGGCCTCCTGGGTCGACTGTTTAGAGCCAAGCAAGGCCAAGTGGGTGCAGCTGCCCCAACCCTCCGGATCCTCCTCTCCCGGAGGCCTGCAGACCCGTTGGCTTTCCCTGTAACCAAAAACAAGGAGAGAGTGGGAGGTCTCTCGGGCGTTTTCCAGATGTGGTTCAGACTTTCCCAGTGCTGGGATTGCAGCTGACATTTGTAAATAAATGCCAGTAGGTCCGGGTACAAGGAGAACACTCTCTAAACCCCAAAGACATCTTTTCTCCCTGCCCCACCTGAAGGGATCTTTTCGATCCCTGAGGCCAGGATTGAAGCGGGGATGATGGCAGCAAATTTGTTCTGCACAGGTGACCCGGCCTGTACGGGCGCCAAGTCCCAGATCCCGCAGAGTGACCAGAGAGCAGAGAAGAGACGTAGGGGATCTGCAAGTTGACCTATCCACCCGAGACTCTCCGCTCTGAGCGACCCAGGGTGCAGGCACCCTCCACACGCCACCTTCTCTAGCAGTCCCCCAGGGTGCCTTCCCAGTCCTCGCACTGCCCTAGAAGTTGCTTGGTTCCCAGACCAGCGAGGAAGGCGGCGTGGGCCCTGGAACCCAAGGTCCCTCTGCTTCTGCTCCACTCCCCAGTGCCCAGCGCCGGGGAATTTGGGAGGGGAAGCTCTGGCGCTCCACAGCCCAGCTTCCCACCCAAACACACACTCAGAACCCCTCGACTGAGACCCTATGGAGCCTGCGCCCACAGCCCGGCCAGGAGCCAGTACGGCCCTCCGCTCTGGGACCAGCTGCCCCGCCTCCCTGCCCTGCTCTGCGGACTCTCAACTTACCGGCTCCAGGCGGCGAGAGTAGTGCTTCAGGCCAGAGTCGAGAGGCGCTGGCGGCGGCTGGACCGCGAGGTGGGCTCGGTGGGCGGCGCCGAGCTCGGCTCTGCTGGGAGGCGCGGACAGCGCGGGATGCCACCCGCCCCACCGGGTCCCGGCGCACAAAGCTACACGCCTAGCTGCAGCCCTCTGCCCTGCTTGGCGCTCCGGAGCCGCGGTCACCACCCGAGCAGGCGGGGTGCGGCGGGGCGGCAGGCTCTGGGGCAGAGGCTGGGGGGGGCAGTGGGGGTGTCGCCAGAGTCTCAGCCCCACTTGCCTCAGTTCTCCCTGAGTGGCGATGGTTTTTGATTTCAGCGCTTTCGCAGAGCCCGCAGCACCTGCCCAGCCTCCCTCCGGGGCTGGCCCGGCAGTGGCAGGGAGAGGCCAGGTCGCCCCCACCCGGAGGCGGGGGTTTCGGGGACGGGGAGGGGACTGACCGGGTTCACCCGCCCGCCCGGCGCCTGGGTCCCTGGCTCCGGGGGATGCAGTTTCGGGGTCACGAGCTGCTTTCAAAAAGTTGAACACAATATTCGGAAACCCACCCGTAGGAATTCTCCCCCCACACGCGGCACAATACCCACTCCCCTCCCCTTTTTCATTCCTTCCTCCCCCGCTTCCTCCTCCTGCCCCTTCCCCCTCCCACCCTTCAGCCTATAATCCTTCCCCTATGAGAGAAAGGGATCGGGAAGAAAACATGAAGTGTCTGTTTTTGAGTCCCAACCTTTGGGCTCTTTCTGGGCCCTCAGTGAACGACCGCCCAGAGCTTCTCAGCTGCATTGGAGGAGGACTCATGGCCGGGAGGGGAGGAAATATATGTGGAGTGGAGAGAGCACTGAAATGGGGCTTGGCAGGTCTTCCCTTTGGAGGAATATTTTTCTGCCCCAATCGTCGTGTTTAAGACCTGCTACCCCACGGCTGCCTCTGGCTAAGTGAGCCAGTATTGGCCCCTCGCCGGTCCCAGGGCCTCCCTGCCGCCGGAAGCCTCCAAGGAGGCTTGCACTTGCCGGCTTGCTCTTCCCCTCGGCCCTCAGAAGCCTGGCACTGCGGGAGTCAAGGCCTAAGCAGGGCTCCAGCTCGGAGTTTAGGGGCTGGGACACTCGCAGCCCCAGTCACGTTAGGTTTCCCATTTAAATTCTCTCTCAACCTCTCTTTCTCTCTTCCCTCATTGAGATCACCAAAGTGGTGTGGACCCGGCGCCTTGCCCCCAGATCTGCATCGGAATGCAGAAAAGATCTTTTTTTAAAAAAAAAAGTTTTGAATTCCTCAATGATTTTTCTTCTGGAAAGGCAGCTTAGGATAATTATTTCAGCTTTATTGAGGGCAGATTAGTTGAAGTCTGGGCGCTGCGTTTCAATACGCGTTGTACACGGGCCGACAATGTGGTCATTGTTGGCTACTGTGTGTGAATCTATTCAACATATACACTTTTTAACACCAAACCGAGTCCTGTCTAAATATACACAGCGCTCAGGGAAAGACGTCTCTGACCCCGACAAATCTGCGTAAATCACACTTCCATAGTTACAGAAGCCTCACAAAGGGAGGCCCGGCTCAAGATGCTGATTACATCTTCTTAAAAGCAACATACCTAAGAATAAATACCCATGCCTGGCCTGGGGGCTGTAGTGGCCAGAGACAGAGAGGGCCCTCTGTGTTCTATGGGCCTTTTGGAGTGTGTTTTAGGCTTTCAATGTTACTTTCCCTAGAGAAATTAGGCAGTTTTAAAATAATAATGGTAATTATTATTATTTTACAATACGAGCAAACAAGCAATTTCAGGCCTTATTCACTTCATCCGGGTGGCTGGCCTCCAAAGTTTGAGTGCCCTCTGGGGCTGGCAGGCAGGACCAGAGATCCTTCTGTTGTGTGGTGAGGAGTGGGCATCTGTGGGACTTTTCCGGGTCCAGAGGGCTCTTGGGTTTCTCGGCTCCCGCAGCTCCTCCACCACTCCTCACAGAGGCTGCTGAATTCTGGGAGGAAACAAAGAGTTGAGTTGCTTCTCAAGATGGAAAGAACTGTACTGTTTGGACTATTATTTTAAAATGGGTGGTGGGGGAAATCGAGGCTCCTTGGCTGAGGAGGGAGTAAAGAGAAGTCTAACTGATGAAGAGGGAGCTGAGGTGAATGTGGTCCATGGGCACCGATGGGGGAGGCAAGAGCGGCCTCCAGCACCCTGGGAACTGGGCTTAGGCTCCCCGGCGCCAGATACCCTCGGAATCCGGGATCCCTGGCTGGCGCCACGGCCCGCTGGGCCAAGGTCGGTGCTTGGTGGGCCCCATGATCTCATCTCTCCTTTCTTCCTTGCCACTATTAGTGCTCACATAGGCAGAAAGAGGCGACCCGACGTGCAAACCATGTGCAAACCGCGCCCGCTGGGCTGGTCAGCCGTCTTTCCTTGCCCGCCGACCTGGCCTATGTGGAGCCTGGGGGACCCTCTTGCCTCCCAACAAAATCCCCGCTCTAATTGCACATCCCATTCAACAACTCTGTGCCCAGGGCTTTTCGAATTTCTGGATCAACTTCTTTGGGGAAAAGGGAAGAAGGCGGCTCAGAGACAGCGATAGAGAAAAGAAGAGAGAGAGGAAGAAGAGAGAAGAGAGAGAGGGGGAAGTAGCGAGATTAAGAGTTGCAAAGATAAAAAAAATTCTCTTTATCCCCCCCTTCTCCCTCCTTCCCTGCTCTCCCCCTCCCCCCGCCCTCTGGCTAAGTGGTAAAACCGTCCTTACGTTCTCGGTATTGATTGGCAGGGCTGACAGTGATTGGCAGTGGTTGCCGTGGCAACGCCACAACGACACGCCACAGACCAATAGAAAAGCGAAACAAAATGTTTCAATGCTGCACTCACTGTGGATTTAGGGGAGATATTATGAGGCTGTTGTCATTAGGGCGATTGCGGTGGAATCGCTGAATCTTGACTCGGCGGTGGTTGGCTCTCCCTCTCCTCTCTCCCTCTCTCTCTCCGTCTCGGGTTCTCTCTCTGCGCGCGCGCACCGGGCCGCTCTCCTTCCTCCCTCTCTATGTGGCTGCGCGGGTGTGTGTGTGTGTGGATGTGTGTGGGGTGTGGGTGTCCTTTACGCCCTTCCTCCTCCCCCTCCTCCTCCTCCTTCTCCCCCCTCCTTTCCTTCTTCTCCTCCCCCCTCTCCTCTCCCTCCTCCTGGTCCTCATCGCCCCTCTCCTCCTCTTCCTCCCCTCTCTCTTCCTCTCCCTGAATTTTCTCCTCTCCTCTCAGGTCAGTCCATGGTATTCCGCTCCCCCCTAGACCTCTATTCCTCCCACTTCTTGTTGCCAAACTTCGCCGATTCTCACCACCGCTCCATACTTCTGGCGAGTAGCGGCGGCGGGAACGG